ATTTAAACCAGAAGATCGGATCTTTTTAATGCAGAGATTATGTAACCGTTATGTATTCACTCAGAGACAACAGAATAGAGAGAGTCAAGTTTCAAAGTTAAGGATTTTATTACTAACAATTAAACTAGGCTTATTTAAGAACTAAGTGTATAGTGTGACTAAAAATGGATGAGACGGTGAATGGTAAATCAGAACCAGCAAATCCGGAGGAGTGATTAGTTCTGACAGGGACTGAAGACGTTGGTTTGGAATAAGCTTGGGTAGTTTCAGGACTGCATGAGACACCATCAAGTTGCGCCTACCTGCCTGGTGGAAGTCCTCTGGTGAGATCAGAAATGCCGAGGTCCAACCGGACCCTCTCTGGACACCGAGCTGGTAGAAGAGCCGCAGTTCCGACCAGACCCCCGTCTCGAGTTACCTCCGGCACACGACTCTTTTCTTGGTGTCTGTTCAGACCATGATATAAATATATGGACAATGGGTTTCCTTAGACTCCAATAACAAGTTTTTCTCCTAAAATGGGAGGTAGCCACCACCGACATTTTGACCGTGTCACAGGTTCCGACAAGCCCAGACAATTCCATAAAAGGGAAGAGAGGTGGAGCTGAGGGTGGGGCTGTAAGGCTGGGATCGACTGATGACACCCGGTCGAACTAGCTACAAGCTAACTTGAAGCTAACCCAAAGCTAATGCAGAGGTGGGAGCTAAGCTAACGGAGGTAGCAACCTAGCTACAACCGGAGTTAACTGTGCACACCACCAGAGCTTCTGAGACAGAGATATGCTGGGCTGACCGCTGGGTAAAACCGGGTGGAACACAGAGATCTCCGAGACCTCTGTGGGGGTCTCGGAGACCTCCACAAGCCGGCAGCCGCACAGCAGACAAGCGCTGCTGATATCTGAGATGCGGAGAGCTGCCGCTGGGGAGAACCGGGTGGAAAGGTATACATCCCAGAGCTCCACAAGCCGTCAGCCCACGTAGCACACAGAAGCCGCAATCAGACAGAGATGCACCGAGCTGCGGCGAGAAGTGGCGTATTTTGGCGGCTCTGGCTTGCCATAAGAACCAGCCGTCAGCCTGTCCAGCTAACAGAAGCCACGATCAGACAGATGCGTCGAGCTGCTGGGAGAACCAGCCGTCAGCCCGCGCAGCAAACAGATGCCGCAATCAGACAGATGCACGGAGCTGCTGGGAGGACCAGCCGTCAGTCCGCGCGCAGCTAACAGAAGCCGCGATCAGACAGAGATGGACCGGGCTGCAGGGAGGGGATAAGGGTAGAAAACATCGGTCTCCCGAGAGCTCCACAAGCTGATAGTCGGAACCCAGCTCCACCAGCATGTTATATTTCAACCCATTTTCTAAAGTGCAGCATTATGTTAAATGCACTGGGTTTTACCTTATTACATTTAAACTTCATGGTTAAACAGTACGTTAAAATCTAAGCTCAGCTCGGCAGTGACCTAAAATACATAAATATAATTTTACTTACCGAAAAAAATGAAGTGGAGACTCCTTGGACGCTCTATTAGTGCAATTAATACCACATCAAGTCATTTTGTCCAACAACTGCACAAAAAATATCCAAACAAGAATACACAAACACAGAGACTCAAAATCCCGGAGCAGTTTCCAAGCCAGACCGAGGCTCTACTGAGGCCTTTCCACGGAGCTAGCTTTGTGGTCACGTGGGTCTGATGCTCATTAATTATACAGAATTTTAGGCTTTTAATACACTTAAACAGAAGAGTGAGAAAAAAATTCACCCCCCCCCCCCCCCCCTCAGAGTTGTCATGAGTGTAAACTAGATAATTTAAACAAAAAACATGTTTTGGAACCAGGCTGTAAACATGTTTATTTCTGCTGTGAAATTGGTATTTTTAAAATGGGAGTCAATGGGGATTTGCTCGCTTCTGACACCAGCCCCCAGTGGATGAGGGTGGAAATGCAATTTATTTCACTTCCGGGTTTGACTCAATTTCAGAGCTGCATGGTGGGGGCCTGGTTCAGACCCAGCCTGGGTCAGTGGAGCTTGTATCCTAATAAGAGCTTTTGTCGTTGCTTGTTGTTATAGCGACTGGATTTTCTCAGCTTGTCGTTGGTTCTTTCGGTTAGAGTTAAGGTCGGATTGGCCACTCCGAAGCTTGCTCTGGAACGCTTTGAACTGCGTTAGAGCTGACGTGGCATTTGTTTTATACCTCGGATGTTATGGTTTATTGTCGAATGAAAATTACCAAACACCGTCAGAAGCACGCCTCCGTCAGATCTGTAGAATTCTGATTGGATCAGTGAAAGAATGTGTTATGTCTTTTTAACACTACGTGAAATGAGTCCTGTTGGAACATTTAAAGTTACATTGCTCATTTCTAAGATCATAATAAAATAATTAATATTTTAATTTCACAGGTCGGTCACATCTTATATTGACTAACACTTTGATGGAATAGCTTTATTAAATAGTTCTTTGATTAATTAAAAGAAAAGAGTTCATTCTTCTTTCTTCTGTCTTCATGCTGTAATGTAAACAGTTTAGAAACGAATGTATGACCTTGAGGCTGTTTCATGCACACTGGCACTGTGTCAAAAGGAAACAGCGGTTAGGGTAAAAATGGCTCCTTCATCCTTCACACTGGTGACCTCACCACTCTGAACGCAACCCTCCGGACCGCCGGGAGCAACTCATACCAGGGTATCGTAAGCCTGCATACTGGTGTCTGATGAGGTTTTTATCAATAAAACAACTCTCTAGTTTATAACAAACAACAAACTCTTTTACACCCAGATTTCACAATTTCTCTCAGATACAAAGAACGGTTGTTACAACATCTAGCTTCCACCACACCACCTCCCATTATTCATATCTTGTCATGTATCATTAGTTTAGGAAAAATGATTAAATTCATTTTATAAACTATATACTGACTCTGTCTGAATTAATACAAAGTGTTTATGGTCCCTGAATAAGCAAAGAACCTTAGAATCTTCTGATTAAACATTCAAATATCAAATTGATAATTCATATTTGTATGGAATATCACATCTTATTGGTCATAATTAATGTTTTAATTGCTACAAACATCTAACATAAATCTACGATAGAAGAAATCAGGCTCTGATGTTCAGAGTGACCCACATACAGAGAAACACATCTGTCTCTCTGGAATGAGCTGCCGCTCATTATTCGACCGTCACCATCGTAAGACTCATTTTTATCGTCTGGTTTTCTGTGATGGGTTTTTATCTTAATTGCTTGTGTTATGACCTTTTTATCTATTTGTTTTAATGTTGGTTTTATTATCCTTATTGCTCTTTTGTGATTTTATTCTGTCGTGTTCAGCGCCTTGGGCCCCCGCAAGGTTGGTGGAAGGCGCTATATAAATAAAATTTGATTGATTTGACATTTGATGGGTTCTGATCTGAACAGGGAGAGACTGAAGATCAAGAATCAACAAGAAATGACGTGAAAGCTGCAGCCTGATGAGGAAATCATCTGACCGACTACAAATCATTCTGGAATAGAAGAACAGAACACACTCATAACACCTGAATGATGGAGGACACGCTAACAGGTCTGCAGAGAACTTTTAATGTTCAAATGATTCAAAAATTAAACCATCATAACAACCCTAGACAGATGAAGACACGAGACATTCTGTATAAAAGACGATCATGTCTCCTGTCAAGTGTTGATGATCCAACAGCGGACTTAACCAGAACCGCTCTGAACTCTGTCATTTACCATCTAAACATACATTGTTCATGATTCTTCTTTGAACATCTTAGGTGTGTTCTTGCTGTGTCTTTGTAAATCCATGCTTTCGTTCTTTTTTAAACACAGAAACAGTTTTGTTTACCTGTTTGTAGCTACGGTTTCGCCGACAGCTGCCGGCTTCTTCAGGCTGACGCTGATGGTGGCGCGTCACTTCCTTCTCCGTTTATCTGCGGGCAGCAGAGGACGTTGTCGCCCTCTACTGCCCGCTCTCCCCTCTCCGACGATGCAGTCCCATGCGTGGTCCAGCGTGTAAACTCCGTTGTCCCTGTTCATGGTCCCACATCCACGTCTCCTTATCTCTATTGCTTCCTTGATCCATCTTTTGTATTTTTGTTGTTCAGTGGTTATGATCCGTGTGCTGTCCCAGTCCATTATATGGTTTTCTCTTAAGCAATGATCTGTTACGGCTGACTTTTTTATTGTACTTTCTGCTTCTTCTTTTGCTGCTCTTGTGTGTTTACGATTTGCCTCTTTCTCGCACTCCTTTCTGTGTTCTATTGTCCGTGTATTGAGTTGGCGTCCGGTTTCTCCTATGTATGTTTTATTGCATATTTTGCATGGGATTTCGTAGATGACTCCACATTTTTGTCCAGCTGATATTTTGTCTTTTGGGTGTACTAATCTGTTTCTAACTGTTGTGTATGGCTTTGTTGGTGTGTTTATGTTGTGTTTTGAAAAAAGACAAAATATCAGCTGGACAAAAATGTGGAGTCATCTACGAAATCCCATGCAAAATATGCAATAAAACATACATAGGAGAAACCGGACGCCAACTCAATACACGGACAATAGAACACAGAAAGGAGTGCGAGAAAGAGGCAAATCGTAAACACACAAGAGCAGCAAAAGAAGAAGCAGAAAGTACAATAAAAAAGTCAGCCGTAACAGATCATTGCTTAAGAGAAAACCATATAATGGACTGGGACAGCACACGGATCATAACCACTGAACAACAAAAATACAAAAGATGGATCAAGGAAGCAATAGAGATAAGGAGACGTGGATGTGGGACCATGAACAGGGACGACGGAGTTTACACGCTGGACCACGCATGGGACTGCATCGTCGGAGAGGGGAGAGCGGGCAGTAGAGGGCGACAACGTCCTCTGCTGCCCGCAGATAAACGGAGAAGGAAGTGACGCGCCACCATCAGCGTCAGCCTGAAGAAGCCGGCAGCTGTCGGCGAAACCGTAGCTACAAACAGGTAAACAAAACTGTTTCTGTGTTTAAAAAAGAACGAAAGCATGGGTTCATGATTCTTCCTCGGTAGTTTTTTTCCACACTACTGGCTCTGTCAGGTCCGTCTTTTTCAGGATTCATTTTTAGTCTAAAAATTTCCCTTTTTTTGTAATTTTATTATGGTCTTTGTTTGTCTTTTTTTTAAGTTTTGTCGTTCTTATAATGTGCCTCGTGAGAGTATCTTGAGAGATGCTATATACAAATTTTTTCTTCTGCCTAGTGGTATGCAAGTACATTACAACGGTACTTGGGAACAGTTAATATTTTATTTCCCAGATGATGGCGTTCAGTGATTCGACAGCATTTGCTGAACCTTACTTAAAAATCAAAACAAAACAAAAACATTGGACTGTGATCTGTATTGCTTAATTAATTCACAAATGAATAAACCCACAGCTTTTATCAGTGATAATGGCAAAAAAATGCCTAAACCACAACTACATGAAAAAAATCAGAACAGGACAACCGCACGAAGCTGCACTACTGAGAGGGCGTGAAGCCTCGTTCACACTGAATACAGAATGCATGCAGAAGTGCTAAGTGTCTGTGATTAATTGTCCACCAGCAGTGATTAGTTGTGTCATCAGAAATAAAGGGAATGTGGTTAATTTTCATGCCGAGCTGTTTCTTGGAGTGCTATGACTCAATCATGGCAAAGTTTGAGATAAAAAAGATAACCGGTTTATTACAATCTAGTCCATGTTAATACAAGCATCGGTACACCCAAAAGTGGTTCTGTCTTTCCGGCATCTGTCCACTGCTTATAACTCTGCAACAGCATCTCTAAAAACTCTGGTACAGGCACATTCCTAAGCCTGCTTAGAATAGCAAAATGCTATTGTAGGAGAATGGAGTCTCCACAGAGCCGCCTTGTAATTTATGACTTCTTGACAACAGTCCCAGCTGTCTCTACACAGCTTTTAAGGTGGGATTTCTTCTTAGGGGCTACAAATGAATAAAGACACATTATTTTTAAGCTGCAGTTATTACAACATTGTATGCTACTATTTTATATACAGATAAATTGTTTAAAGCAGATGCCACCGGTATCTAACAGCTTTAAATTGCAGTGGGTTATGTACTACAACATCATGTGCCTGTTATCTTGTCTGTTTCTTAATTACAGGAGGGTATAACAGTTTTTTCTTAATCTTTAAGTAATACTTTTTTGTATTCAGAATTCATGAATGAACATCTCAAATGTTTGGTTAAGGTCTGAGTTTAAAAAACAAAAGAGATTTGAAAATGAAAATCAAAAGAAGAGGTGGCTCAAAGACCGATCAAAGATAGTTGTAATATTAAGGTTGTAAAAAACTAAATACTACATTTGGAAGTACAGTTGTTAAATATATCCCTTGAGCCTTTTGTGGATGCTCGTATGTCTCTTTAAATTTGTCTTTCGGCTAAATCTTTGTCGACACATCTCACAGGCAAATGATTATCTCCTGTGTGGACTCTCATGTGTGTTTAAACTATTTTTATGGGTAAATCTTTTCCCACAGAGCTCACAGGCAAAAGGCTCCTCTCCTGTGTGGACTTTCATATGATTATTTAAATGTGACTTTTTGGTACATCTGTATCCACAGAGCTCACATGCAAACGGTTTCTCTCCTGTGTGGACTCTCATGTGATCGTTTAAACTTGCCTTTTGGGTACATCTGTATCCACAGAGCTCACAGGCAAAAGGCTTATCCCCTGTGTGAACTCTCATGTGTGTGTTTAAATGTGACTTTTTGGTACATCTGTATCCACAGAGCTCACATGCAAAAGGCTTCTCTCCTGTGTGGACTTTCATGTGATCATTTAAATGTGACTTTTTGGTACATCTGTATCCACAGAGCTCACAGGCAAAAGGCTTCTCTCCTGTGTGGACTTTCATGTGTGTGTTTAAATTATTTTTATGGCTAAATCTTTGTCCACAGAGCTCACAGGCAAAAGGCTTCTCTCCTGTGTGGACTCTCATGTGGTCATTGAAACTGTTTTTATGGCTAAATCTTTTCCCACAGAGCTCACATGCAAAAGGCTTCTCTCCTGTGTGGACTTTCATGTGATCGTTTAAACTTGCCTTTTGGGTACATCTGTATCCACAGAGCTCACAGGCAAAAGGCTTCTCTCCTGTATGGACTCTCATGTGTGTGTTTAAAGTATTTTTCTGGCTAAATCTTTTCCCACAGAGCTCACATGCAAAAGGCTTCTCTCCAGTGTGGACTTTCAAGTGATCGTTTAAATGTGACTTTTTGGCAAATCTGTATCCACAGAGTTCACAGGCAAAAGGCTTCTCTCCTGTGTGGACTTTCATGTGTGTGTTTAAATTATTTTTCTGGCTAAATTTTTGTCCACAGAGCTCACAGACAAAAGGCATCTCTCCTGTGTGGACTCTCATGTGTCTGTTTAAATCTGACTTTTGGGTACATCTATATCCACAGAGCTCACAGGCAAAAGGCTTCTCTCCTGTGTGGACTTTCATGTGTGTGTTTAAATTATTTTTCTGGCTAAATCTTTGTCCACAGAGCTCACAGGCAAAAGACTTCTCTCCTGTGTGGACTTTCATGTGTGTGCTTAAACTATGTTTATGGCTAAATCTTTGTACACAGAGCTCACAGGCAAAAGGCTTCTCTCCAGTGTGGACTTTCATGTGATAGTTTAAACTGGCCTTTTGGGTACATCTGTATCCACAGAGCTCACAGGCAAAAGGCTTCTCTCCTGTGTGGACTCTCATGTGTGTGTTTAAACCATTTTTATGGCTAAATCTTTGCCCACAGAGCTCACAGGCAAAAGGCTTCTGCCCGGTGTGGCCTTTCATATGACGTGTTAAACTGGACTTCAGGCTAAATCTTTTCCCACAGTCCTCACAACTAAATGATTTTGGTTGTTTCTGGACTTTTCTGCATGAGCCTCCATGTTGCTTCTCTTTCACACATTTTGTATTAATCGAACACTCTGAAGACTTTACTGCTGAATGACTTGTCACTCTCACATGTTCCTGAAGAGACCACTTGTGGAGGAACCGTATACCACACACAGGGCAGCTAAATGATTTGTTGACGGTCTTAATATCTGACTCCGAAGACTCGTTCTCATTACAGCCATGGTCTCCACTTCCAGTTTCAGGCCCAGAGTCTGAACGCTCAGAGTCTAGATTCAAATCATCATCTTCTCCACTAACTTCAATCTCTGAAGAATTGGATGTATTTTCATTAGGATCCAGATCTAGGTTCTTGCTAGTTTCTGCTCCTCCACCACCTTTAGCTGTCATCTGTCCAGCCAAGCTGCTGGTTGGGACACCTCCGTCTTTCATTTGATGGTTGTGGAAATGTAAGAGCAGAGGTTTCTCATCCGTCTCTTCTCTCTTCCTTGAAACTGCAGTGAACCAAGCAGAAATATGTAAAAGAAAAATATTCAGTAAAAAGAGAAGACAAAAGACCTAGGGGTGTTTTTGCAATCAGTAAAAGACATAACACATGTTGGTAAACACATTACTATATATGGTAATGCATTACTTTAACAAATAACTATGGCTGTGTCTCAATTCAGGGTCTGCATCCTACGTCGGCTGGATTCGTCGGCCAGTTACGTCACAGCGCCGCGACTAGGCCTGTCCCAATTCAAAGACTCCTTCAAATGCGGTCGACGAATCCTGACTTCTTTTCGCCTGAATGAAGGATGGGTCGGGTGTATCCTTCAATAGGTAGCATTTCCCAAGATGCCTTGCGGGCCGGCCGGCAGAGAAACTTAAAAACAATGGCGGATAGTGAAGCGGGAGCTGTCGGAGAGGATTGCGCATATAAATGTCAGAATAAACTTGAAAACTGTTAGGTTAAGGACTTTTTGTGATACATGAACGTTATTTTAGTTAGAAATGTTACAGTAAAAGTGCTTGTATTGCGGTCTCGGCTCGTATGTTCGGCCGCTCGGTGTCGTACTTCTGCTACGTTTCCCCCTGATTTTAATAGAAGTTTGTATTTTAGGTACAAGAGAAAACCAGGGAATTTATTAAGCTTAGGGTGGAGATGGACCACATGGTCACTGGAGCAAAGTATTCGGCGGCTGTGGCATGGAGGTACAATAACATCTCATATTTTAAAAACTGGTTTCAGTTGATTTTTTTCTGCGAAAACATGAAAGGAATAACCCGTTGTCCTCTTTTCTCTTCCTGTTTCTTTTCCTACATGTTTGTTAAGAATATTCTGGAGAAAATGGGCATCCAGGGGAAGGTGACGGCGATGACCAGCTTCTGGAGCTGATCAGGGAGGACATGAGGCTGCAGAGGGAGGCAGAGCAGCAGAGGGCACAGAGAGAAGGGAGAACTTTGACAGCTTTTTACTTTGCTAGAAAAAAATGGTTAATAAAGATTAAACATGTACATTTAAAAGAAATATCTAAATAAAATCAGTTCTGCATTAAACACTTGAATTTTATTTTGGTTTACAAATGAGAATTGTTTACTAGAGGGTATCCGCTGGGTCTGAAAAGTCTTAAAAGGTGATAAATCGGTTTTGGTCAAATTAAGACCCTTAGAAAGTATTAAAAACCATTATCACATCTTTACTCAGGCTCAGCTAGTCGAAAGTATTTTCTCCGAATTAGCTCTCCAACAGTCAAGGAAATGATTAAAGATCTAAATAAAACTTCGAGCTCCATCGTTTAAAGTTCCTTCTCACTTCTGCTCAGCGGTTGCTAGGCGACGGAACGTTCGCTGACGGAGAGGCGGGAATTCATGAAGGCTAGGCCTGTCCAAATTCACAGCCGTTAACATCCGGTCTACCCGGCCGACGGAGGACCCAGCCCACGTCGGCGGGGTGGGCTGGGTCCTTCGAAGGATGCAGACCCTGAATTGAGACACAGCCCATGAATCTAATGAATTGCTTTTAAGTCCAGACATCACTATGCGATTGGTAGAAGGAAAAAACGCTATCGGGAAAATCTGATTAACGCCTCTAAGAGCCGGTCAAACCAGCTGTCCGTCGCTGCTACTTTGGAGCCTAGAGTTACCCTGACAGCAGCATTGCGTCGGCCCCTCCCTTCCTTTCGCTAACACTGTAGTGGCAAAAATGTAAACAAACATATCTGCCGAACAATTACTCCGTGAGAGTCCTGTAAAGTTTGTATCCTACCATGAAATCACGGCGCGGAGGAAGCTCGTTAAAATGCATCAAAACAGTAAATGTAATACGTGTTTTAAGAAGAAACTGTGGGTGGAAAGAGGTGAGATTGTAAGGCTTGCTGCAGAAATAAAAACACAGAGCATCAACACTTTTCTGTAACCCATTAAATGATAATGAGCATCATACTGCTAGATCAGTAGTTCTACTCACTAGGTCAGCTGACCTTAATCCACAAGATGGGACATATGGCACTAGAATTCCAGATAAAGAGCTAGGTGCAAGTCCATTTAAACATTTGTAGGCCAGAACCAAAATCTTAAATTCAACACAGAACTGAACTGGGATCCTATAAAGAGAGGCAGCAACTGGAGTGATATGATCAAATCGACCAGTGCCAGTCTAAAGACAGGCTGCAGCATTTTGAACTAGCTGCAGACTAGCAATACATCCATGATCAACACCCAAGTAAAGACTATTGCAGTAGTCTTAACAAAATGCATCAAATGCATGAATAAGCTTCTCAAAACGATTCCTCATCAAAAAGACTTATAAAGATTCTTTAGGTGAAAAAAGGATACTTGAACCGCATTATTGACTTGAACATCAAATTTAAGCTGAGAATCATTCTTAACACCCAAATTAGACACAACATCCTTTGCATCATATGAGACTGAGTAACTACTGGAGCACTACTTGGTGCAAACATAATCAACTCAGTCTTAGACTCATGAATTTGGAGAAAATTACAACCCATCCACAATTATTAACCTCATGAAGACAACTCAGAGCTAAATCCTTAGCTTTAACAGGAGCATAGACCTGACAGTCATCAGCATAAAGATGAAAGTCAAGCTCATATTTCCTAAAGATGGCCCCAAGAGGGAGCAAATATAAATTGAAAAGCAGAGGACCAAGTACAGAGCCCTGTGGGACCCCATATTTCAGGGGAGCATCACTTGAGCAGAAGCTACCAATCTTAACAGTCACATACCTGTCAGCCAGGTAGGAACTCATCCAGAAGAGCGCTGAACCAGAGACCAAAAAAATTCTCCAGTCGATTGAGAAGTATAACATGATCAAGAATATCAAAAGCAGCAGTCAGATCTAAAAGTAATAAAACGACTGTCACCCACTTCAGTATATTGGTTAATATCATTGAACACTCTCAGCAGCGCAGTTTCAGTACTATGCTTTGCTCTAAAAGCTGATTGAAAAACTTCTTAAATTTGTTATTATCTAAATGGTCTGACAATAGCTTAAAAACGACTTTCTCGAGAATCTTAGAAAGATATAGCAGCGTAGATAGGTCGATGACTGGATAATACCGAGACATCAAGACCGGGTTTCTTAAGAAGGGGTTTGATTACAGCTCTTTTCAGACTCTTTGGAACTTCCCCACACTGCAGACTAGAGTTGATTATATTATGAACCATATTTGAAATAGCTGGCCAAACATTTTTAACAATAGAGGATAGGGCTGCTCGATTAAGGCAAAAATAATAATCACGATTATGGTGACTGAAATTGAGATCACGATTATTTAGGACGATTTTTCAATTTATGTTGATTTTATTTGTTTTTATTCAGTCATTAAATTGCTCAGGGCACAATCAGGACAAAAATAAAAAACAAGATGATCACTAAAATAACTCCTGATTCCCAGGATAAAAAGACCAATATACTTATAGTTCACAGTTTATGACCCAAGGGCTATAGACCTTGGTTTAACTCATTTAAGTCTAACCAGTACAGACCCAAATACCAATATCTTGCAAATACTGGCAGCAAGAATTATTCAGTGGCATTTATAACAAATAAATGCAAATAAATTGATGTTCACAAAATGTTGCATAACATTTATTTAGTCGTGTCAAGGTGCTGTAGGAGAGTGCACTAGCACCGTGTCCTCAGAGAGGTTAGTTATTATTTATCAGCGTGAGGAACTTATTTCTATCTATTTCTACCTTATTTATAAATTATTCATTTACAAGTCCATCAGTTAATGTAATAATTGTCCCAACCACAGCTGCACCCCCCACCCCCCCACCCCGGTCTCACAGCAATTGGGGCAAGCTGCACGTGTGTTTAGCACACCGCACGCGCACATTTAGCCGTTTTTAGCGGCTCAGGAGTCTGCAGGTGCGGTGTGTGTGTCACTCACTCTGGTTACTCCAACAAGGAGTCGGCTCTGAGAGCTGTTTCTTTAGCGACCGACACATCACTGCATCATTCCCTTTCCTAATGTTGTGAAGAACAGTCGGGAGCGCAGGCGGAGTGTTTAGCTAACCTGCAGGAAATGTCAACGACAGGTATCCAGAAAGTAGCTAAGGGTTACCAGAGATGTTTCTGAGGTGTTCGCTAGGTACTTTTAAGTTAAAAAGTCAAGAAGGGGGTCTGAAAAGCTGCTAGAAATAGCGTCAAAGTCACAAGTTGGCAACGCTGTGGAGGAGCGCTTCATTTGCAACTCAGGGCAGCGCAAGCAGGAGGAGCAAATAATCGGCTTGTTTAGTTTTTTATAATCGTTCAAAACTCAGACCGTAATCGTGATTAAAATTCGATTAATTGAGCAGCCCTAATAGAGGATGGAATGATGTCGAGTGCAGAGCTGGATGGTTTCATCTTCCAACAATTTCATCCAACATATCTGGGGTACAGAGTCAAAAGAATTCAAAGTAGTTGAATCAAAACAGATTTCTTCATCAATAAAACTAAAATGCTGGGGAATTTGAGCTTGAATAGTTTCAGTTTTGCCTATAAATTATGTCAGAAACCTCTCAGCAGTAGTCCACCTGCACACGAAGGATTTCAAATCTCATCCACGGTAGAAAATGGTACTCTTAGGTTATGCTCATTAGAGCTAATAATATCAGATAAAAAAGTGGATTTTGCCTTTTTTACAGCCATGGAGCACCATGCAGACCTCATGTCTTCAAATGAGGGCTGTGACCTAGATTTCTTCCACTTCTGCTCACATTTCCTGCATTAGGTGAAGATTCTCTGTCATCCTGGACATGATCATCCTGAGCTTTAATATAAAAACAGCTGGACATTTCTGGTTATCTTGAAGACGTTTTTCTTCTCATCCTAGAGGCTTCTTCACATTGGTTGTGAGTAGAAGGCTGTGAGTTATGGTCAGAAATAAACACACTGACGGTTTTTCTTTAGTTTCTCTTTTGAAAACGTTTTAGTCTAAACAAAGGTGATGTTATTGTTCATAGAATTAAAATTTAAGTCCAAGTAGGACCTGTGGTTAGT